TGCTGCATCCCCTTGGGGGGGGGCCCAGCAGCAAAATGCTTCGAATCTGCTGCAGGACTTGGAGACGCAACTTAAAAAGCTGCAGCAGATGCTGCCCCCGCAGACACTAAACACTGAGCAGCAGCAGCAGCAGCAGCAAAGCCAGCAGCAGCGAAAGCAGCAGCAGGAAGAGCAGCAGCAGGATCAGCAGCACCAAGAGCAGCAACAACAAGATCAGGATCTGCTGCAGCTGGAGCAGCAGCTGCATGAGCAGGAGCAGCAGCTGCACGAGCAGGAGCTGCAGCAGCTGCAGCAACTGCAGCAGCAGCTGCTGGATCCTGCTGCTGCGCCTCCTGAAGCAAAGCAGCAAATGCCTGGCGTTGATGAGAGGCTTCAGCTGCTGCTGCAGCGAGCAGCGGAAGGCCCAGGAGATGGGGGGCCCCACCTCTATGACGTAACTTCCTGCTGCTGCTGCTGTTGCTGCTGCTGTTGCTGCTGCTGTTGCTGCTGCTGTTGCTGCTGTTGCTGCTGCTGTTGCTGTTGCTGTTGTTGACGCTGGTGCTGCTGCTGCTGCTGTTGCTGTCCATCTTTCTCTTTCTCTCTCCTAAGTAGTACATTCGCTTTTTCAGAGTTTGCATAACTGCTTCTTCACTGTCTTTTGCTGCTATCACTGCTGCTGCTGCTGCTGCTGCTGCTGCTGCTGTTGCTGCTGCAGCTGCTGTTTGAGAGCATTCGCAGCGGACAGTTTGGGGATGCTGGTGCTGCTGCACTAGAGAAAATTCAGGTGAGGGGTATTTGAGGTGTATGTACACCCCAGCACTCACTCGATGCAGCAGCAGCAGCAGCAGCAGCAGCGGCAGCAGCAGCAGCATCAGTAGTAGCAGCAGTAACAGCAGCTGTAGCAGCAGCAGCAGCAGCAGCATTGATCGAGGTGGTTTATCTTTACATCAGGAACACAACTTCATTGGCTGCTGCACATCCTGTTGCTGCTGCTGCTGCTGCTGCTGTTGGGGTGTATGTGCAGCGAGAGAGTGACGCAGCAGCGGAGAGCGAAGCAGCAGCATTTGCTGCTTCAGGCCTGGAGGGCCTCACCCCCCTTGAGGTTGCTGCAGCAGCACCGCAAGCAGCAAGAAATGTTGCTGCTGCTATTAGAGGAGTCTCCTGCAGTATCTCTGCCCACAACCATCAGCAGCAGCAGCAGCAGCAGCAACAGCAACAGCAAGAGCAGCAACAGCAGCAACAGCAAGAGCAGCAGCAGCAGCAACAGCAGGTGCTGCAGGAGCAGGACAGCGAGCAGCAGCAACAGCAGCTGCAGCAAGAACAGGAGCAGCAGCAGCAGCAGGCTGTCGAGGTGGAGAAGCTGAAGGGTTTGCTGCCTCTAAAGAACGAAGGTGCTGCTATTAAAGAAGTTGTTGCTGCAGCAAAAGGCCTCTGCAAGGTACTGCTGAACAACCCTCTGCTGCTGCTGCTGCTGTTGCTGCTGTTGCTGCTGCTATTGCTTCTCGTGCTGCTGTTGCTGCTGCGGCTTCTGCTGCTGCCAATGCTGCTGTTTCTGCTGCTATTAATTCTGCTGCTGTCGCTACTTCTGCTGCTGCGATTGCTTCTGCTGGTGCTGTCGCTGCTGTTGCTGCTGCTGCGTCCCCTGCGCTGCTGTCACTGCTGCGGTCACTGCTGCGGTGGTTGTTGCTGCTGCTGCTTTGGTTGCTGCTGCTGCTGCTGCTGCTGCTGTTGCTGCTGCTGCAGGAGATGAACATTGGCCCATTGGATGTGCACACAGAGCGGCTACCGTCGGGAGTGACGTGAGAGGAGACACTACATCTGCTGCTGCTGCTGCTGCTGCTGCTGCTGCTGTGATTGCGATTGTCCCTTGCTCTGTTGCTGGTGCTGCTGCAGACTGCTGCAGTTTCAGATTGCTGCTGCAGTCTCTGCTGCTGCTCTTGATACAAAGGGGAGGCAGCAGCAGCAGCAGCATATGCCGTTGGAAGTGCTAAACCCTAGACCCTAAACCCTAAACCCTAAACCCTAAACCCTAGCCTGTTCTCTTTGGGGTGTACATGCAGCTTGTGCTGGAGCGAAGACCCGAAGTCTCTTCACTTGTGGCTGCCCCTCCCAGAAGGTGAGACGAAAAGGAGACAAAAATAAATAGAGACAAAGAGAGACAAAATGAAGACAAAGAGAGACAAAAATAAATAGAGACAAAGAGAGACAAAATGAAGACAAAGAGAGACAAAATGAAGACAAAGAGAGACAAAATAAAGACAAAGGGAGACAAAATGAAGACAAAGAGAGACAAAATAAAGACAAAGGGAGACAAAAGGAGAAATAGAATAGAGACAAAAAGAAATAGAGACAAAAAGAGACAAAAACGAGACAAAAGGAGACGAAAATAAACACAATAAAGACAAAAAGAGACAAACAAAACAAACAAAAAGGAGACAGAAAGGAGACAAAAAAGAGA